AAAAAGAAATCTGGAAGAAGAGCAAGAAAGTCAAAAAAAAAAAAAAAAGAAATAGAAGAAACAAGGTAAATTGGAGAGGTGTGATCTGGGCTGTTGGGTTGAAACCACACACAATGTAAAATTAGCCTTGCTCCATTAACTGTAACAAAAAAAAAATAGCAATAAATGAGGCAAAGAGCTGTGAAGCAGGAGGGAGTTACCACGGGGAGGTGTTGAGCTTCAAAACTAGGGCATAGTGAAGGACACAACCTGTGTTAGGCTACAGTAGCAAAGTCAAGGAAGACAATCTTCCCTTGAAAGAATGGATCTGTCTTGGAGAAGCACCTGCGTGGGGCTGGGATGACCATTTCCTCCAGCATCTCCAAGACAGAATCATTTCTTCCTGCCTCGCCAAGGCATGGCCATGTCCTCCAACCTCAGCAGGACACAGCTATGTCTGCCAACCTCACCAAGGCATGGCCATGTCCTCCAGCCTCCTCAAGGCACAATAATGTTCTCCAGACTCATCAAGGAGATTTCCTCCAGTCTCACCAAGGCACGACCGTTTCCTCCACTCTTGCCAAGGAATGGCCATTTCCTCCAGACTCACCACAGCATGGATGTTCCCTCCAACCTTGCCATTTCCTTCAGCCTCACCCAAGCAAGGACATTTCTTCCAGTCTCTCCAAGGCTTAGCCATGTCTTCCAACCACACCAAGGCATGACCATGTCCTCCAGACTCGCAAGGCACGGACATTTCCTTTGATCTGTACAAACCACTAGGGTGCAGCATTCACACACGCAACCACCTCCTGCAACAGCCTTGCAGAACCAGCCCCTGGTAGCTGGGAAACTGCCTTCACATGCCCTCTGTCTCTCTCCAGGAAACCAGTTTAAACAGGCAGCCCGTGAACTAGACCCAGCCCAGTATCTTTGTGCCATAGGACGCTAATGCCTGAATGCTCGTCGTTGTACCAAGGTGTGAAGTTAAATCTGAGCTGCCAATGCTCCCTGCAGCCCAACCACAGCCTCCTCTTCCTACCACTGGTAAAAGCCAACGCACCTCATTCCAGCTGCTCACATGGGCTTCTGGCCATGGAGAACACACAGAGAAATCCATAGCTGAGCTGCAGGTCGTGTTCTTCACAGGGGAGTGAGTGTGCTCAGTCAGTCGCCGCAGGGCAGGAAGGTGCACACAGGGAGGGGCAGGAGGAGAATAAAGGAAACCCAAGAGAATAAGCAGAGATAGCACTTTTTTTTTTTTTATATCAGACACTTGTAATTAGAAAGCAGCGTACAGGCTATAGATGATAAAACTTAACATATTATTAGCCCAGCAAGCAGTGAATTCAGTCTTGCTGTTTCAATGATTTAACAGCACTGAAGGCAAAATACTCAGCCCATCATGCATTGGAACTAAATGCTCCTCACTTGGGCTCCTTCTTGCTTCATTTTAAAAGTGTTTTATTACTTAATGAGCTCTTGCTGTTCTGCAATTAGTAGCCCCACACACCTCTTTGTCCTGGTTGCTACCAGGCTCAGTGGAGGCTAGTCTCTATAGAAAATCTGGCTGCATGATCATAATAGCTTCATCGACTTTTAAAACACTGGAGCTGAGCTGTGAAGTTTCAACACAATTTTCTCTCTCCCCAGCACCCATACCCATTAACCGGGCTTCCAATGGGAGAGAAACCTGGGAACTGAGGTTTGGACTCTACTGTATTATTTAATTATTTTTTTTACTTCTTGTAAAGCAGCAAACCAAGAGAGAAAGAAAAGGAGCAGCAGC